AGCGTGCCGGCCGGTACCGGCTCCCAACTCGGTTCCTGCCTGCCCCGGCCCGCTGGTCTCCCCATTCTTCAGGCTTCCAGCACTGAGGAGTCAGTGGGCGGTGGGCTCCGCCTCCACCAAGGGGCAGCCCGAGCGCCCCTGTGGTTTCCACACTTCCACTGTTAATCCCATCCCAGCGCAGGCGTGAGCGTCCCTCTGGGCGTCTTCCTGGAGGGATCTCCCTTCGCTCCCGAGACTGCAGGATGGTGTCCTGGATGATCTGTCGCCTGGTGGTGTGAGTATGGCCGCTCTAATACCCTCTCTATCTCTGGATGTCAGTCCGCCCCTGGGGTGGAAGCTGGGAATGTCTGGTGGAAAAGGGGGCTTTTCTGAGCTATGTCACACCTTTCCCCTCCCTCCAACATTCACCGCAAGGTTTAAGGGACCTGCGGGCCTGCACAAGGCATTGGGCACCGTGTGCTTGTCCCCCAGCACTCAAGCCTACTTGGCTGATGGCGACCTCCTGCAGTCACACACGTACTGCAGGCAGGTGAGTGGGACGGAGGACCACAGGCCGGCCAGCCGCCCCTTGGCAAACACGGGATGTGGCACGTTGTGGGCAGAGAATGCAGGTGCCGCCTTCCCATCTGAGCAGTCAGTCACGTGACTCACCACCCTGGCCCCAGCTTCCCCACTCTGTCCTACTCCTCACCTGGCTGGAATATCCTTGCCTGCAACCTGGCAGTGCCAGGTCTGGTGGCCCTGGGCCTGATTGCACGTCCAGGGGAGGGAACAGCCAGCCTGGTGCTCTCATGGCTCAGAAGCCTGCCTCCCACTCACCTTGTGGAGTGGCTGTCTGTGCTCTCGCTGCATCATGCACCCATGGGCCACTCGTGCAGGCCTGGGCAGGCTTGGGATGTTTGTAAACAGCAGGGTGGGGAGGTGGCCTCCAGGGCACTGACTCAGGTGCAGGTCGTGCAAGCCAAGCGGGAAGGACAGGGCAGGCACTGCCACCTCGGACGTGGGGTGCGGGGGAGGCCGCCACCTGGCAGGGGCGTGGGGAGTGGTGCCCCTCACACTCTCCCTCTGCTTTGGGGGCTGCCCTTCAGGCTGGTGTTTGGGATGCTGTACCCAACTTATGCTTCCTACAAGGCTGTGAAGACCAAGAACATTCGTGAATATGTGAGTGCGGGGGTGGGCAGGAGGGCTCAGCTCAGGTGGGGGGACCACAGCCTTGGGGGTGTGGTAGGATTTGGCGAGGTGGGGGAGTCCGAGCTGGCCTCCCTTTCCTCCAGGGGTATAATCTGGTGGTGTACCCTGGAGCAGAGTGGGTGTGGATGGAGGATGGACTCTTGGGATTCTTTGCAGGATCTTGTGGGTGCAGTCTGTTGGGGGTGGGTACAGGAATGAGTGGCAGCTTCTCAGAGGCAACTTTCTAAGGCCAGCCAGGTGCCAGGGGAATGCAGTGGGACGGGCTTTCTGGAATCTCTGGGCTGGGTCAGCCCGGGACAGGGGATTTGGCACTGCAGGCTCAGCTGCTGGCCTCTGACCTCTCTGCCCGCCCCTCCCGTCCAGGTTCGGTGGATGATGTACTGGATTGTCTTTGCACTCTTCATGGCAGTGGAGACCTTCACAGACATCTTTATTTCCTGGTATGGGCACTGGGGTTCTGTGGGCTGCGGAGAGGGGGTGGTCCTCCCTGGCCTGGCTCCCTGGCAGACCTTACCCCCTCTGCTCTGACAGGTTCCCTTTCTACTACGAGATCAAGATGGCATTTGTACTGTGGCTGCTTTCGCCCTATACCAAGGGGGCCAGCCTGCTTTACCGCAAGTTCGTCCACCCATCCTTGTCTCGCCATGAGAAGGTACCACAGGGGGAGGCAGGGCGGGCAGTGTAGGAGTGGGTGTGAGGCGAAGAGCCCTGGACTTGCAGCTCAAGACACTGGGGACACCTAGGCTCTAATCCCAGTCCTGCTGCTGTTTAGCCATGGGGCCTTAACAGAGCCTGGCCTTCCTCCTCTTCTGGGAAAATCAAATGGGGACACATGTGAATGACCTTTTGGGGGTGTGAAACACCAGCTTGAAGTTGGTTTGGGCATGGTGGGGGGAGGCTGGAGCACGGCCGATCATTGAGGTGTAGGATCCGGTGAGTGGATGGGGAGCCCTGGGGGTGGGGTGGGCTGGGAGGCGTGGCTCCCAGTGATTTCTCTGGGCTACAGAGGAGTGACTAGGGCTGTGTGCCTGAGCTTCCCTCCCCCCCCCCCCCCCCCCCCCGTGCAGGCCAAGGAGCGCAGCTATGAGACGGTGCTCAGCTTTGGGAAGCGGGGCCTCAACATTGCCGCCTCGGCTGCTGTGCAGGCAGCCACCAAGGTGCCCTGGGCCCCAGCCCTCCCCCATCCCCACCCCCACCCCCAGGGCCTTCTGAGCGAGTCCAGCTCTCTGTCAGGGAGCCGAGAGATCGCAGCTGTCCGGGCCAGGGGAACAGGGGCGAGAGGTGACAGGTGGGGTGTTGGCAGGAGCACAGAGCTGGAAGTTCAGACTTCCCTGGCTCTGACACTGACCGTGAGTGGCCGCTCTTGCACCCTAGGCCCTACCTTCTTGCTGGCGCCACAAAGGCACAGGGCTAGGAGGTTGCCGTGTTTCTTTCGGTTCTAAGGCCTGTGCCCCAGGGATTGCTTGCAGGTCAGCCTTGATTTTCCTGGGCAGCTCCCCTGGTTGAGGCCCCTTCCTGCCAGGAGCCCTGCCCCCCTCCGTCAGGTGGTGCAGCGGATCCCACTCTCTTGCAGAGTCAGGGCGCCCTGGCCGGAAGGCTGCGGAGCTTCTCCATGCAGGACCTGCGCACCATCTCCGATGCCCCCGCCCCCACCTACCAGGATCCCCTCTACCTGGAGGACCAGGTACCCCACCGCAGGCCACCCATCGGTGAGTGGACAGAGGAAGCCACAGCTGTCCCGAGAGGGACGGCTTCCTCCAGGCCAGCTGTGGCTCCCCACAGGGCCAGAGGAAAGCCTGGCTCAGCTGGCCCCAGGCCTTCAGACTGTGTCCGTGCCCAGCTTTGCCTCCCGGCCTCCCTCTCCTCCACAACAGGGTACCGGTCAGGGGGCCTGCAGGACAGTGGCACCGAGGATGAGTGTTGGTCAGACACAGAAGTGGTCCCCCAGCCATCAGCGCGGCCCCGAGAGAAGCCTCTGGGCCGCACCCAGAGTCTGCGTGTGGTCAAGAGGAAGCCGCTGGTGCGGGAGGTCGGTGGTGAGGATGGCACAAGGGGAGTGAGCTGCCCTGGTGGCCGCCTCAGCCCAGATCTCTCACGGAGTGCCTGCTCTCTCTCCCCACAGGGCACCTCGCGCTCCCTGAAGGTTCGGACGAGGAAAAAGACCACGCCTTCAGACATGGACAGCTAGGGTCTACGGAGCCTGGCCCAGTCTTACCTCGTGCCCTGCAGGGCGTTGGGACTGTTTGGAGGTGACCTCTGGCTGCACATCGGGCCTGCCTGCACCAGCTGCCCGGGTGCTGCCCTCCTGACTCTTGCTGTCGGTTACGGGCCAGGTTTGGGGCTGTACCCATGATGCACCAAAGCAGCCTGGGCTCAGGGTTTTATTTATTGTCTTCCTCGCCGCTCTACCTTCCCAGGTGTGGAACCAGAGCCCTCCCCAGACCTCTGAAAAACGAAATCCAAAGCCCACCCAGCTGTGTTTGTTCCTTCCTGTCCTTCCGGGTACTTCACAGCCTTCTCCAAGGCCAAGTGTGTGTCCTGGTTGTATGGTTTGTGTTGGTGAATGAGGCCAGGTTTGTGGAAGTTTTGATAAATAAATGCGTAAAAGTGCTCTGTCTCTTCTGGTTTGTAGTCCCGGTCCTCACAGCACGTGTTATTAAACAGCCTGCCCCAGGCCAGTCTGGGCCTAGTGCTGAAAGGCCAGACAGACTGCCAGAGGGGCCCAGTGTTCTGGGGCAGATAGCCATCGACAAATTGTGGTGATGCGGCAAGTACTATTATGGAAAGCTCTTGGGGACTCTGAGAACA